AAACAAAATTTGCCTCAGTTTTGTGGAAAGATCCTCTGGACAATACATGGAATGGTCTGTACCCTGTCCTCATTTGGGACAGAGGGTCTGTCTGCATCTATTCTCAAAAAAATGGATGCTGCTCGTTGGCTACCAGAAAGATTAATCAAACAGATTGATTCTAACAAGCCATCCAGGGGTGATGAAAGCCCTGAGATATCTCTCTCTCCTTCCACAGATCCACAAAATGAAGATCCTTCTTAAATACCTGATCCTGTTTTGCTTCTTCGACACTTCGGCTGCTGGTTTTGATCCTGGTGCTGCTCCCCCTGGCGGAACAGGGAACTCTCTGTCTTGCTTTACAGGAACGCTGCTGCTTTTATACCAACAAGTCTGGCACCATTTGTGATAGTCCCTTATGGTCTACATGGAATAGACTCTTCCCCTTTTCCCTCCCCATACTTGGTCCGATTCTGGGTTTACTGATTGTTTACTCTTTGGGGCCTGTCCTTTTCAATAAGCTCATGGCTTTCCTTAAATGCTAAATTGATGACTCCATAAAAATGCAGCCTATCCAAGTCCACTACCACAACCTGGAGATGGAGTATCATGGAGCCTAGACATTGCTTTTGCCTGAGGCGCTGAATCGGTTAGCCAAGACAAGTAAGAGAGTCTGAGCCTAACAGTTGTACAGTCCTCACACCTAAGACAGGAAACCCATCATTGCAATGGGATTCTCCAATGATGGGTAAGGATGGACGTGTGACTCTAAAAACAACTCCAACCTAAGATAGGCACGCTTCCCCCAGGTTTTTCTCCTCTCTTTGAAACAATAAAAAGGAGGACATGTGGAGGGCACTGCATATGGAAGCCATCTTGAGCTATCCACCATCTTGGAAACCATTAGGCTTCACTTCTTCACTGAGCAAACCATTTCTCAGAAATCATGTGACCAACTGTTCTCCCCAAGGGGTGGTTGGGTTTCTAGGCAACGGGAGAGATCCACCCACACCAATGATTGGTTCATGCTGTTTTATCTCATTTGCATTTTAGGCAACCAATCGGTGCCCACCAGCCTCTATGTAACTCACCATTTTTCCTCAATAAACGGAAGAAGAAGAAGACTTGATCAGCACCTTGTATTGTGTGTGTGTGTGTGTTTGTCCCATCTCTCACTCCCTCCCCCAGGGAACCTATTTGACTGTCCCCCGGGTCGGGACACCCAAGAAGCTGCCGAACAACTGGGCAAGAATGTTAATTTAGTGGAGCATTTGGTGAAATGGTGTGAAGCCAAAGCTCATGCTAGGATGATGGGGGAGTCCAACAGACCACTCTCAGCTCTCATCTGGTACAGTAAATTGAAAGATGTAATTAAAACAATCATACAGAGAGAGGTGGCATCAAGCATCTTGTTACCATGGCAACTAGTGAGCATGGAATAATACAACCCTCGTTACTTTAGCTCTAATAGCAGCTTTAGAATTGGGCACTGGTGATAAAAATCTAGAAAGTGCTAAACTTGTACAGATCATACACAGACTGCTAGCAAATGAGAAAAGTACTCCCAAAATAAAATATAATTCCATGGTCCTGTTCTGTGCTTGTCCTGACCTGCGAGACATCGAACAGGTTCCCTGGGGAAGGGAGTGAGAGATGGGACAAACACACGGACACACAATACGAGGTGCTGATCAAGCCTTCTTTTTCTTTCTCTTCCATTTATTGAGGAAAAATGATGAGTTATATACAGCTGGTGGGTACCAATTGGTTGCCCGAAATACAAATGAGATAGAACAGCATGAACCAATCATTGGTGTGGATAGATCTCTCCCGTTGCCTAGAAACCCAACCACCCCTCAGGGAGAACAGTTGGTCACATGATTCTGAGAAACAGTTTACTCAGTGAGGAAGTGAAGCCTAATGGTTTTTAAGATGGTGGATAGCTCAAGATGGCTTCCGTATGCAGTGCCCTCCACATGTGCTCTCATAGGATCTGACTCTCTACACAAGAAAGTGCAGGATTTGGCCTTTCTAGATATTGTATCCAAACTTTGCGGGCATGAGAACAAAAGTGTCACCCCACAGGTCTCTCTCACAGAGCAGAGACTTACTGTGGAAAGCCGAGACCCATCCCTTGCTGATACACAACATCATTCTATCTCTGAATTCCCCTTTGTCCTCCATCCAGCTGTCTCTTCTGCTTCATTATTTACCACTATCACATGTGCATGTGTTAATGTTCCAATACCAATTGCTGTAGGTACCTGCCTAATAAGATTTTTAAAATTCACAGTTAGTGTGAACATGACTTTGTCAAAAATAGGTATCCACTCATAAGTGTTCTCTTGTATTCCTGTTGCTTGAGCTACATTAAGTAGAATGTGCATGGTGTAGTCCTATGATGATGTAAACTTGGTACTACATGATGAATTGCTCCTCACATGTGGTAAACTACATAATAACATACTGGTGAATTAGAAATGAAGAATGCAGCAAGGTCTGTCTAGCATATTAAAGATGAAATTGAATAAAAAATAGCTCTTGTTTGATGCTTGAGAAGCACAGTGATAAAAAAAATTGTATGACTGCTCATGTATTAATCTTACTTACTAATGTCAAGTCCATGGTACCCTAGAGTTAAATAAAATTTCAATGTTCTCACTCTTTAAAAAAATCTTGTGGGTATTGGGAAGATTTCATTGTCTTGAGAAATTGTTTAAAGCCAGAAATTTTCCTTTTCTGCTTTGTAAAAGAGAGATGTTTGTGGAAAAAAATGTGGCATCTTCTCAAAATTAGTAAAAATAAGTTTCCACTCTGGAGTGTAAATTTCCCATAATCTGTACCTTTCCCAAAATTAAATACAATTATTTTCCCATCTCAGGTTCCAGACACTCCTTTCATTACCATGTATTATATACACATTTGCAGATGACACTCTGATCCTCTGCACAAGAATGAAATCACATGAAGAAAAATGACAGCTTTTGTGGTAGGGAGCTTTTCTGTAAAGACACAGATATCCTTTTCAATCATCTTTTTCTTTAGATCCTGAAGGAACTGCTCCCCTTGCATATCATCAGATACAGAGTGCCACCCACGTCCAACCAAAATGCAGCAACAACCAGATGATTCCATGAGTCAGAGAGCTGTCCTTGGTGGCCATCTGATAAACTAATGGAAATTGGTCTTTATCACTTAGGATGGGATCAAAATGATCATATGTTACCTGAATAAGAAAAAAAAAATAACCTAGTTCTGACCTTAGTGCAGTTTTGGATTGTCTCACTTAAATAGGGAGGAGATAACTCTTGATCTGATAAGACCATAGAATGAGATATTGAATGAAAAGAATGCATGCTGTGGAAAAGACAATATTCTGTCATTAGGAGTATCAGAAGACTATTTCTCAGTCCCATTTATTTTGAGAAAGAACATATGACTAATCCAAATAATGGTATCACTCTCAGACCAGATATGAGAAAAGGTATAAGGTTCAATACTTGTTTCAATATCTGGAGTGGGAACTGAAGGATGCGTATATTTATAAAACTGGTGCAATAAGATGATTCTGCCATCCTGAGCTCATGTGATCCATGTGGATCAGAGGATTCTTTTCCTAGCAGGCAAGGATAAAAATATCAACTCTGGGTACATGTGAAGGCACCTGGTGAGCAAGGGGGCACACTGCCCCCACTGACTTCCTTCCAGACCCCCAGTCCAGGATCCACCCAGACCCCTAGGCAGGTAGAAAGTTCCTTCATTTCTTTCCTTCTTTACTGTCCCCCACTTTTTTTTTGAGAGGTTTTCGCTATAGGGCACGTGCACTCACCAGACAGAGAGAGACAGACAGAAAGCGAGAAATCACCCCCCAGGGGGGATGGTCACGCCCCAATCCCTTCTCCTCCATTCTCGGACCTTGGGCACGCATGCATGCATACACGCCCAGCATGAGTACCCCATTCTTTTGTAAATTCCTTCCTCTCTGTCTCTCCACAGACTGCGCCTTTGACTGCAGCAGCCTGGTACATCTGAAGGCACCTGGCGAGCAAGGGGGCACACTGCCCGCACTGACTCCCTTCCAGACACTCCCCCTCGCCCCCTCCCCCGTACATCTGAAGGCACCTGGCAATCAAAGGGGCACACTACCCCCATGGACTCCCATCCAGATCCCACAGTCCAAGATCTACCCAGACCCCTAGGCAGGTAGAAAGTTCCTCCATTTTTTTTTCTTATTTACTGACCCTCATTCTTTTGTAAATTCCTTCCTCTCTGTCTCTCTACAGATTGTACCTTTGACTGCAGCAGCCTGGTACATCTGAAGCACCTGGCGAGCAAGGGGGCACACTGCCCCCACTGACTCCCTTTCAGATTCCCCAGTCCAGGATCCACCCAGACCCCTATGCAGGTAGAAAGTTCATTCATTTTTTTTCTTCTTTACTGTCCCCAATTCTGTTGTAAATTCCTTCCTCTCTGTCTCTCCACAGATTGTGCCTTTGGCTGCAGCAGCCTGGTACATCTGAAGGCACCTGGCGAGCAAGGGGGCATACTGCCTCCACTGACTCCCTTCCAGACCCCCTGTCCAAAATCGACCCAGACCCCTAGGTAGACAGAAAGTTCCTCCATTTTCTTTTCTTCTTTACTGTCCCCCATTCTTTTGTAAATTCCTTCCTCTCTGTCTCTCCACAGATTGTGCCTTTGGCTGCAGCAGCCTGGTACATCTGAAGGCACCTGGCGAGCAAGGGGGCATACTGCCCCCACTGACTCCCTTTCAGACCCCCCCCAGTCCAGGATCCACCCAGACCCCTAGGCAGGTAGAAAGTTCCTCCATTTTTTTTCTTCTTTACTGTCCCCCATTCTTTTGTAAATTTCTTCCTCTCTGTCCCTCCACAGACTGCGCCTTTGGCTGCAGCAGCCTGGTACTTCTGAGGGCACCTGGTGAGCAAGGGGGCACACTGCCCCCACTGACTCCCTTCCAGACCCCTAGGCAAGAAAAATGTTCCTCCATTTTTTTTCTTTACTTTCCCCCATTCTTTTGTAAATTTCTTCCTCTCTGTCCCTCCACAGACTGAGCCTTTGGCTGCAGCAGCCTGGTACTTCTGAGGGCACCTGGTGAGCAAGGGGGCACACTGCCCCCACTGACTCCCTTCCAGACCCCCCCAGTCCAAGATCCACCCAGACCCCTAGGCAGGTAGAAAGTTCCCCCATTTTTTTTTCTTCTTTACTATCTCTCATTCTTTTGCAAATTCCTTCCTCTCTGTCTCTCCACAGACTGCAACTTTGGCTGCAGCAGCCTGGTACATCTGAAGGCACCTCACAAAATCACATGCCGTGCATTTTTCTTTATTTTCCTCTCTCCTCCTTTTTTTTCTCTTATTTTTATCTTCTCTTCTTCTTCCATCTTGCCTGAGGGACTAGCTATGTCTAGAATTAGAGATCTGAATTTTTCTAGTCATATAAAGTTATATTGGTTCCTCCCTTATACAGAACCAACTGTGAAAAATGAGATTCTGCTCTTCAGACACCTGACTATAGTATCTTTTTGAGGCCACATTACTAAAAACAACAGAACAGAGACTTCAGCAGACGTCAATTTCCAACAAAAGAGAAAGACACTCCTAGCCAATGAAACTTTCACCTAACAGGTACTTAAAAGTTAGTACATCTTCCAATGGCTAGAAGTAGAAGGAGAGCCTCCAGCATGAGTAAACAAGGACATATATCTCCATAAAAGGTACAAAGTAACTCCTCTCCATCTTCAAGGCTAATGGACGATGTTACCAAGATGTCAGATATAGAATTTTGGACATTTATATTGAACAAATTCTTGAGT